TTCCCCAGGGGTCAGGAAACAGCAAAGACAAGGAGATATGGGTGAAGCCCCTTTACATAGGACACTCTGTCTTCCAGAAGAACACGGCCATCCCTACAGCTCCTTCTTCCCTTCCTAGGCCCCAGGATGGCCCAGAGACTCTCAGCCTCATGTGTATTTCTTTCCTGTCTTCTTACCCATTCATGTATCAGGACTTGACTCTTGTCTACTATACTACATACATGTGGTGTTAGGAGTGTGAATTAGTCACCAGTTTTGGGGACCCACATGAAAAGGGCTACCAGCAAATCAAAGCTTATCTAGGGGAGAATGGCCAGGTGTGGTGACTCAGAGCCACATCATGTTCTTCCCTTCATGCATTCGCTTACTCAGAAAGCATGGATAAGCGGTTGGGACATTCCTGATATGTTAGATGCCTGGGAAATATAAGTAATAGTTAGAACAGACTATCCTACCTTGTGGGCATCGTGCTAAAGCCTTTAAACACATTAATGCATTTAGCCCCAAGAATCTTAAGACAATATTATGTTTTAATAAGGAAGCTCTGATTCAGAGCAATGAAGTGGCCTTCCCAGATGGAAGAGATGAGAATCAAACCCATATCTGACTTGAAATCACTTTTTATCACTTGCTAATAAGGCCTTGTTGAAAATTCGGCAGGGAGTCGGGCCTTGCTCCTAAGCAGCTCAGTCTAGGAGGTGAGCAGGTGAGTATGTTTAAGGGGGTAAACTCAGTCTTGGAAGGGAATAGGGAAGGCTTCCTGGTGGAGGTGATGCCCAAGCTGAGTCCAGAAGGATGCATAAGAGCCAGCCCAGGGAAGAAACAGAGGTAGGGTGTTATGAAGCTGAGGGAAGAGCTTCAACAAATACCCAGAACTGAGTGAGAATTTGTGTCTTGGTAACAGGAAGCAGGCTGGAACGAGGGAGAGAGAAGAAGCCGGAGAAGTGGCAGAGATCAGACACAAAGGGCCTTGTATGTCAGGCCAAAGACACCAGGAGGATTTAAACAAAAGGGAACAGGTGGAGATCCTTCGGTGGTGGTAGGGTGGCTGGGTAATAGGAGGTGGAAAAAATGAGACTATGGCCAATTTTGTGAGAAATGTAGGCTTAAGCTGAGATCTGCAAGGGTACAAACTTGAGAAACTCTAGAAGATAGAATCAGTGGGACTTAGTGGTGATTAGACATGGGGGGTGTCATGGATGAAGAAGGAAGGAGCCAGGTCTGAGAGACCAGGCTGGGCAGCATGTCCCCAGACACGTGTGGCCCACCTGCTTGGTGGCAGTGGGGATCGTCATCGTGGCCGTGGGCCCCATTCTGGCCCTGTGTGGAGGAAGTGGATGCATTCTGACCACGGGGCTCTGGGATGCATGTGATTATTGAGATGTCACTTATGCAGGCGGGGGTCCAGCTGGCCCAGCTCCCACCTCTCTGTCCCCTCCAGGCAAACCCCGTCTTTGTCTCTTACAAAGGAAGTAGACTCTTTCTGTACTGGACATATGGACAGTGTCATGATTGGCCTCCTTTCTTGTATGGCCTAGGGGTTGCTTGGCCAGCAGGCACTGTGCTTGGACCTAGCTTCTTCTAGGTTACTAGCATATGGCCATCCGCAAGGCAGCTGTCGGGAAGCCCCTAGTCTTGGAGCTCCAAATTCCAAGCTCCCCGACACCCTGGCTTCTCTGGGCTTTAGAGAACACCTTCTGGGGGGCTGGGAGAACTGGTGCCCAAGAAGAAGCTTGTGAAAAAGGAGATAAGACAATCCCTGTATTTCTGTGTTCTTGGGAAGAAAGCACGGTGGGTGGCAACTGTAACTTTCTGGAGACAAATGTGAATGTTTAAAAACTTGAGGAGGGGGATCCCTGGGTGGCGCAGCGGTTTGGCGCCTGCCTTTGGCCCAGGGCGCGATCCTGGAGACCTGGGATCGAATCCCACATCGGGCTTCCGGTGCATGGAGCCTGCTTCTCCCTCTGCCTGTGTCTCTGCCTCTCTCTATCATAAATAAATTTAAAAAAAAAATTAAAAACTTGAGGAGGGCAGCCCCAATGGTGCAGTGGTTTAGTGGCGCAGTGGTTTAGCGCCGCCTGCAGCCCGGGGCGTGATCCTGGAGACTCAGGATCGAGTCCCACATCGGGCTCTCTGCATGGAGCTTGCTTCTCCCTCTGCCTGTGTGTGTCTGCGCCTCTCTCTCTGTGTCTCTATGAATAAATAAATACAAAGCTTTTAAAAAAATTAAAAACTTGAGGACCCCAAATGCAGTTCAGTCTTAGGCCAAAAGCTAGGCCAGCAGCTGGCAGGGAGCAACAGCAGCTATCCTGTGGGTAAAGGTGGGCCGGGTGGGTTTTGTTCCCCATCCAGTTGGCTCCCTCTCTCAGCTTAGCAGACCTAAGCACTTTTGGAACTTTCTCCTTTGGTCCTCCATCTAAGGAAATTAGATGTGGCACTCCCGGTTATCTGGCTCTGAATTCCTCTCCAACCTTTCCTGGAGCTTCAGAGAAGCCCACCTCCAGTTCAGAGAATTTATGAATCTGCCTGCCTGTTGTGCCGGGTCTGGCACCTGCCACACCTGGGACGGGGTCGCTTCCTGGGCCTACCTTGAGCCACCAGTCTGGTTTGACTCCTGACTGATGCCGGAGGGCCTGGCACATGATCTGTCCATCCCGGAGTCAGTGTGCCAGGTGTGTCTCATGAATTCAGTTCAAGCTGCGGGGGGAGCCTTGGAGAGGCTGGGAGTTGGGGCTTGGCGGCGGGGGAGGGGGTGGCCATGGTGGGGGGGAGCTGGGGTGGGGACCGGCGGTGTCGGGGAGGGCCCGATGGGAGGCCGCTGCAGGGCCCGGGGCTGCAGCCTGGAGCCCCCCCCGCGGCCCCCTCCCCCCGCGTGTGCGCCAGGCCCGCGTTACTCTGGCAACTCGCCCCGCTCAGCCGGCACCAGGCAGCTGAATCCAGCCCCTTGTTACGGCGGAAAATGCTCTCATTGAGGCGCCGGAGCGGAGCTTCTGCCTTTTATTGCAACCGGCGCCACCGGCTTCCATTTGTAAACTTATTAGTGTGCGCGCGCGGCGAGCGGCCGGGAGCGGGGCGCGGGGCGCCGGGAGCGGGGCGCGGGCGGCGGAGGGGGCGACGGCCGCCGCATGCTAAACAGGGCCCGGGGCGCCGACGGGGCGCCCCCCCCCCCCCCGGCCTTGCCCTCCGTCCTGCGGGCTCCGACCCCCCGGCGTAGCGCCCGGAGCGGGGTCCCAGGGCGCACGGTTGGGAAGGGCCTTAGGAGCCGGAGAGGAGACGGGTGGCTCGGGTGGGGGTGGGGGTGGGGGTGGTGGTGGGGAGGGCCCCACGGGGAGGGGCGGCTCCCTGCGCCGCCCTGGGGGTGCCCTGGTCCCCAGGCCCGGGGCTCCCTGCAGCCGCAGCCCGGGGGCGCCGCCTGCGCCCCCCAGTGGTCGTGCCCGCGCCTCCTTGCTCCGCAGGGGCCGCGGACAGGTGCGGCGCGGCGCGGAGGTGGCGTCCCCGGAGGCCCCCCGAGGGCGCCGACCCGCGGAGCGTGGGCCTCCCGGAAGCCGGCTGCTCGCGACCCATCTCAGGACCTCGCACAAGGGCAGCTCTTTGTTTACAGCGCCCCTTTCTCTCCGCCCCCCAGTTCCTTCTCTCCCGCCTCCTCCCCCTTTCCGGTGAAGGGCTCCGTGCGGGGGCAGGGCGCGGGGGCGGGGCGGGGGGGGGCTCCCTCCCAGGCCTGCCCGATCTGATCTGCTGGGGACCCCTCCCCGGGGAGCTGGCACCTGCCCCCGGCCGAGGCGGTGATGCTGGGGCGGGCGTGGGAGGACGGACGGACTGCGGAGCCCGCGTCATGCGCCCCTGGGGAGCTCCGGGGAGCGCCGCGCTGCTCTCCCGCTGGCGGGCGGAGGGGCCGGCCTCCGAGGTGGAGGTGGCCGAGCCTGCCTCGTCACCACCAGCCGCTGACCTCATTAGGGCTCGGCTCGTGGAGGAGCGGGCGGTTGAAGGACCGGGAGAACCCGAGCTAAGTGGCTGCGAGGATGTGGACAGCCTCTCCGGAAACTCGCTTTCCAATGAGCTGCTGCATCCCCTCCTCCTTTAATTAGCAGGAGGGAGCCGGACAAGTTGTTACAACTGCAGGGAAAACGATAAAAGATGGCTTTGTGTGAGTGTGGCAAATTTTATTAAACTGAGAGAAAGGGTAACTGAAACATGACAGCCGTGTGTGTAGTGCCTCCTGAATTTGTAATAACCCAATCTTGTTCTGAATCATCCCTGCGTTGGCAAACGGAATATAAAGCATTTAACAGATCCAATATTGTAGGAGGTACAACAGAGACCAGCCAGCGAGTGGGGAGGGACAGGTAGGGGGGAGGAGGCCCTCCAACCCCGGGGCAGCCTTGGCTGGTTAATGAGACCCGAGCAGAAATACAGGGCCTGGCTCGGGGCTTTGTCTCATTAATTACTCGGGGCCCCCCGGCTCTTCCTTACATCTCAATGTTTCCACTTAGAATTCAGAGGTAATATCAGGCCACAAGAGAAAACTTAACTAATAGCATATTAGTTGGTAGGGAATGGACAAAGCCATCTTTTCCTAGAGGAAGTAAAAAGTGACGACAGGAAATCAGAGGCGAGTTGCTGAGCCGCGTGGCTGCTCTGGCTTGGGGGATGAGTTTGGTACTCACTCCAGAACAGGGGTGACGTGCGCTCCCGAGCTGTAGCTGTGGGGTGCCAGCAGCTGTCATCTTGGTGATGGCCCTGTGCGTGAGGCCCAGACAGGTCAAGTCCTACGCCCAGGGTTTAGTGAATGGCAAGCTTGGTCTTGCACTTCGGTCCTTTAGACTCCAGAGCCTATGCTTTGCCTGTTACCCTGGGTCTCCGATTGCAGTTGACGAATGAAAAGGAGGAAAGAAAGATTCTTCATTTGTAGAGGCCCTTGCATGAGGAATTGTAGCTCTCAAACTCTAGGAGATTTCAAGATCTTCTGATCTACCTAAGATATTATTTACTCATCTTTTCAGAGGAAGTGACTGGGTTCCAGAGATGTTAAGCCACCTGTCCAGGGTCACCCAGCCAGGAGATGACTGAGAGAGGAGACCGGACTGCACATTCCTTCCTACTACCGAGTAAGGCCTCAGATGCCCCATAAATCCACGCTTCATTAGAATAGGGTCTATTTAAGATGATCGCAAGTTAAGTCTGTGGGTAGAGCCTGACTTCTTACTCCTGCCATTTTCTGTTCTGTCCTCAGTGGAGACAGAGATGTATACCACCGTCTTTCCTGTCCCTCTTCCTAAATCTGAAGGCTGGCATTTAAAGCCGACCTCTCCTCGCTGAAATTCTTCCTGCCAAAGACTGAGCTAGACCCTCTCAGGGGTTTCACTTCCCACTCAGGAGTGATTAACGTGTCGCTTTTCCCAGCACGGAGAGGAAATGAGCAAAGCACTTCTGTTGAAGAGAGAGAGAGAGAGAGAGAGAGGAGAGAGAGAGAGAGAGAGAGGAGACAAAAAAAATATGTAACACAACCCCAGGTTCCAGTTTGGGTTTGCAAAGTGGAAAACAAAACAGAACCATTTCCCAGGTACTTTTATGTTATTGCCTCTATAATGTGCCCAAAAATATTTTCCAAGTGATTCATCTACAATCCAATAAGAACAACGGCTGTTGCCATTTGTATGAAAGGAGCCGGAGAGCATTAGTGAGCAATTCTATTTTATGGAGGGGAAGTGGCACAGGTGTTTGGAGCCATTTGCCTGAGGCATCAAGGACTGTGCCCGGGGCGTCTGTAGCTCCAGGCAGGGCAGCTGGCACTGCTGCAGGTTGGATAATACACCAACCAGACAGTACCCAATGGTTAACCTGGGACAGGACTACCCGTGGTGGAGGCTTTTAAACTTCAGTGCACTGGTCTCCTGCCACTCAAAGATCTCTTTGTAGTCTGCCGATTTTCAAAAAGTATCATTAACAGTAATAATTCACATTTGTAAGAGACTTTGTGGTTTACACTGCTGCCTTTTGCCCTCATCTGGTGCAATCTTGATAAGCACCCTGAGATTGAAACAGACACGGTCATCCCCATTTTACAGATGAGAAGACTGAGGCTTTGGAAAGTTTACTACTTTGTCCAGAATAAGAGGCTCCCTTCCCCCCCCCCCCCGCCCTGCGCCCCCAGCCGTTTCCATGTGTCGGTGTCCCCCCTTGGAGATTCGTATGTTGAATTCTGATTTGGAGCAGGAGCTGTGGGCTTCCCTAACGGGTAGTGCCACGCAGTGTCAGTCACTGGGACAAGACGAAGGTCCTTAACCAGGAAACGGGAGTGGTCAGGAGGACCTCAGGGCGGCAGGGGAGAAACTCTGGGCCCTGCGCTGGTGACTACAGACTTGGAGGAAGCTGGGCACAGGGAATGGTGCTGTCTCCGTGCGGCGGGCCGTGGCTAGGAATGGTGACCAGGGAACCTCGGAGAGGATCTAAGTGGATGCACAAAGGCCAGATTGGGTGGATGAGTGTCCCTCTTGTTCCTTTCCCTTTCATATTTCCAGACCGTTAGAAAAGTCTTAATTAATCATTCCAGTCTCATCAGAGGTGCTTTTGGGATTAAGGCGAAGGACCTGTGCCTGTAGCAAAGCATTCCTTGGAACGGGTGGTGGCTGTTTCTTAGACCATCCTACCTTCTTGGTGTCAGCGATAATGAGTGGGACAAGGTGAATCTTAGGGGACAGGGGTCAGGGGAAGAAGAGCCCGCTGCCTGCCTCACTGGGAAGCCTCCTTCCCCTGCCAACCAGAGAAGGTCGGCGCTTGAGGCTTTTGAAACCTATTGTACACAACATGAATTTACTTAACACTTAACTGCACCCTTGAAAATGATTAAGAGGGTACATTTTATTTTGTGTATTTTACCAATAAGAAAAATAACTAGTTGTAACAATTGCTCATGGTTTATAAATCAAAAGGCTCTAACAATAAATGGTATTTCTCTGCCCTACCCTTCCCTAACCCCTCAGGCTCCCCTCTTGGGAGCAATGGCTTTCCACATTTTATCTGTTTCTTCTGACATTTACATATCTCTAGAGTTCTAAATAATATGTATGTATAGTTTGGCTTAATGCATTAATTATATTATCAATTGACTTTCTATTTATGCTAATGAGGATTTAGTTCTCTTATACTGCCATCCCCTGATTCTCACCCTCTATATAGAGTATTTAAATTCTAGTTAAATCAATAGTCAGGATTTACATTGTACCTATTTGACTATTATTCACAGCTGACTATTATATTATGGTTATGTTTCTTTTTATTTTTTTCTTTTCCTGAAGTTAATAACCGCCTTGTTCTGCTTAATTTTTTTTTGCTTTAATTTTCTTTGTACTTACCAATAGCCTGTGAGAGTAATCTTCCTGAAGGTCAGTCTCATCAGACAATCGGTCAGTTCTGACACGTGTCTCGGAGACTTTGCTTCTGGACACCGCTGTAATGTCTGGTTGGCTTTGCTCCTAGGCCTGTGGTGGGGCTGTCACCCTAGGACTTCCCTCGCTCTGGTCCCAGGAATGCCCTTCTCCTTTTTGTAATATACATTCCTCCTTTCTAGGGCCTTGTGTCCTCTCCTTTTTTAACTTGCTCCATTGTTTTGATGGAGCACATTTACCAGGAGTTTTCTCAGGTTCGGAAGATGTGTGCAGCATCCAGAGGGCTGGTGAGGACAGTCCATGATGTGGTGCTAACACGCTCTGGGTGGCCGCCTTTTGCACCTGGGGCACTGCCATCTCCTATTGCCTGTGTAGGATCTCCTGCTTTCTGTAGCCCCCTTGGCCTTTTTTTCCTATCTTTTCATCCTGCTAAAGGACTTTGATTTTTAGGAAGGCAGGGCCCTCACACATGTCACACTAGGAAGGGGCAGCACTGTGACTTGAACCCAGATCCGTGGGCTCAAGTCCAGTGCTCTTCTTCGGTCTGCGCTGTGATCTGACTGCCTTCTACCATAGCCAGGACCCATGCTCCCTGGTCTTTGCCACTCGTCAGCCACCTGGCCTCACCTAACATCCCTCCCCTCTTCTCCCATTCCTCCCTGGCCAGCCCCATTGTTGATGTGTGCCTCTCCAGGGCCCTACACCCGTGCCTGGACCCTGTCCAGGGCCTTGGTCTCCCCATGGGAAGCCCCAGGGTCTGTGGGACGGCCTGGTGTTTTATCCTTTTCTGGGTAGCAGGGTCTGCTTGGTGTTGGAGAATGTGGTTTATAAGGATGGAGGCCATCACTGCCTCCTCCCTTTGTCTGCCACACAGCCCTCCTTGCTCATGCTCCTTTGAACTAGCAGGAGGTCAGAGGAGGGGATCCCCTCTACAACATGCCTGGTCACCTTTGCCTGGAAAAATTCAGATCCGAATCAAGCAAGAGAAAGCGTAGTGCATCGGGGAGAATGTCAGGCTCTTCTCTCCATCCAGTCCCTTGTAACTCAGTAGGTAAGAGCGTGTTGTGACAGCAGTTGGGGCGGGAGAGCTGGTCCTCCTCCCAGGCTGTCTCTGGAAGGACTTGCCTGGCCTGCTGAAGGAGGCTGCAGGCTCCCTGCCCTCCCTCATCCCCTCCTACAGCATTGCCTTCCTTGGGAAGTTTTCCAGGCAGAGTGGAAGCAAGATGGCCAGGGATGCCAGAAGTCATGCATAAGTAAAATCCACAGATAATTCCCAAGCTCTGCTTTAGCCATTAATTTTCATCTTCCCGCAAAACCTTTCTCCAAACTGCCAAAAGGAACAACACTGATTGATTTGTGACTTTCCCCCTTTACGTTTCCTCTGCTCCCTCCCTCTGCTTCTGATTGAGAGATAGAAATTAGCTATGAAATGACCCAAGGAAGCCCATTAGACATTCTGCAAGAAGACAGGAAAACAAGAGGCCTCAGTAATCCATAAATTAGATACTTAGCCCCAAAGCCATTGGATGTGATTCTGCGCTGTTTACTCATTCATTCATTCCTTCACTCCATGCTATATTCTGGATTGAATAAAGGTCTAGGTTCTGGCATGATGAAATCATGGCATCTCACCTCATGTTTGAGGTAGTTGAAGTGTGTTTGAGGCAGTGTGAGCTCTTGCAGATTGTAGTCACCCCAAGGCCCTGAGCCCAGCTGGTTTTGCTCACACAGTATGGGGTCCTCCGGGTACGGCTTGGGCTGCAGGACAGGCACCTTACTCAGAGTGAGAGCCCCATAAATGTTTGTTGTTGATGGTGATGCTTGATCAATAAAGCTAATCCTGCCATTGTCATCAGGGGATAAATCAGTACTGGTGTGTGTGAGAATTTCCCCTTGAACGTGTTTCTGAGGATGCTCAATCAGACTCTTTATGGCTTCCAAGAGCTGGGGCATGATAAAAAGGGCCTTGGCAATCTGCTGCTGTGGAGAAGTTGAGCCGAAAACAGGGAGGTCAGGATCCCTGGGTGGCTCAGTGGTTTAGCGCCTGCCTTTGGTCCAGGGCCTGATCCTGGATACCTGGGATCGAGTCCCACGTTGGGCTCCCAGCGTGGAGCCTGCTTCTCCCTCTGCTCTCTCTCTCTCTCTCTCTCTCTCTCTCTCTCTGTGTGTGTATGTCTCTCATTAATAAATAAATAAAATCTTAAAAAAAGAAAACAGGGAGGCAATGAACTAGTCAGAGCCCCACTGCTCACCCAGGCTACCCCACAACCTCCGAGGACCCTGGGCCTCTGCTCAGCAATCTTGAGCTCAAGCTTGTGGGTTCTTTGATGGCAGCTCAATTCTCATCTCTCTGGGTGGGAGGAGGAGGTAGACGTGAGGATGGATCATTGGCACTGGAACACTTGGGAATCAAAACGGTTGAGCGCAGGTGTGTAAGAGGGCAGGCCAGTAGTGGGCAGGGGAGCAGCTCGGGCTGAACCTGGACTCAGTGGGCTGTGGGCTTGGCCGCCACAGACAGTATGTGTGCATGAGTGTGAATCAGGAGTCAGGGAGCCACTGGGGTCCAGGATTTGGGGTTCAGGCCCTGCTCCCAGCCCCTTCTGTGTGTGTGGGCGGCCTGGACTGACAGCTCCGCCTGTGCTCGAGCTCTGGCTCTTCAGTTCCTAGAGGCCTGGATGGAAGGTGGCTGAAGCGCAGCTTATGGTAAGGCCTTGGGACTC